TAAGAGATATATACTAAAAAAAACCCCCCAAAACTCAAATTAAAAGCAGGATTAAAACCATCTACAGTATCAGTAGTTGCATCAAAATATAAAGGTGATACAATTAGAAACAAGTCTCTGTTTTGCACACATGTGAATATCCTAAAACTACTCCTTCCTAACCATATCAACACGTACACTGTCAGGCTTTGAAAGCTTATGTTGATAATTTCTCAGTACTAGTGATTGCATTGCTTAATAAATTAGACATTGCACTCTCCCTTTGTATACACAACTTTTTAGTCTTGAATTGCAAAGAACTAGAGGGATCTCATTTTGTGGCTACCAAGAAGATGGAGACTCCCTTTTTACAAGGAGTCACGTGGAAAAGACATGAGGTAATGGATACAAGTTGCTCCTGGGGAAATTCTGATTGGACTCCAGAGGAAAATTTTTCACCATTAGAGCAATTGGAACAGTCTTCTAAACGAAGTAATGGATTTCCCGACCTTAGACTCGGCTTGACTGGGTGCTGGGCCATATCATTTAAACTATATTTCTGTACTTTTTTTACATTAAAGGGTTGGACTAGATGATCCTTGAGGTCCCTTCTAACCCAGTATCTAATCTATGGTTATATGAGTTTCCCAAGAGGAGTGCAGATACAAATGTCTTGGAGGTATCTACTTTAACAGACAGCAGAGTATTGTTACAAGATTCACTCAAGCTAATAATGGGTACAGCACAAATTGGAATCTCCTGATTCAGCTGACATAAAAACTATACATTTTGCTACTGTGCATTGGTCAGGAGTCTGCAGCTATTCTCTAACACAGTATTTAAAATAACCATAGATTTTTATTGCCATACCTTACATGTTTTAATGCTGATGCTATCTGAAAAAAATTTATAAAAATAAATTTAAGCTTGCATGAGAAGAAATCACCCTCTCCTGCTTCATATAGTGAGGAAATTCTTGAGCTGTATCACTATTTCTAGAAGTCTAGAGAACTGAAAAATAAAACAAAACAAACCACAACCAAACTTCAATACTGTGAATAAGAAAATCCTCAGGTGTCACATAATACTTGTGACAGAAAAAACAGGGCCACACATGTATGACTCAAAATACTGGTATGGGACAGTACCATTTTTAGGATTTCACTCAAGTAGTATATGCGAGATTTTAACTTTCCATTTATACTATACTATGCAGCCATAGCATAGTAGGAAAACCCTGAGAAGTAACCTTGGGAGTGTGATTTGGGCCCATTTGCTAAAGACATGGTGAATTGAGATGTTCCATTTCCAAAATGAGCGAGTGTGTGCTGCAGAAGGCAGGAATAACACCACCTCTACAACCGCTGGCTCTCTGGCTGTTGTTAAAACTAAAGCAACATGCACCAGTTTTATTAGTCATTTTCTGATTGTATTCCCTAAATGAGATGTTTATAGGCATTCATACCACATAGCCCTGCATGTGAGTCCCATGACAGTTTCAGCAAGAGCTAGGAGATTAGCTATTCAGTGCAGACACAGCCTAATGCACTTTTAGGTTTAAAATGAAAAGGCCTAGCAAATTTAGGATTAGGCAGTTCCAGTGGATCATTTGGTTGACAGAAACTTTGAACTTAGGGGTAAAAAAAAAACCAACTATCCTAGGTGCCAAAATGCTTTTTGCAGGTTTAAGCTTAAAAAATGAGGTCACATCACTGTGTAAAGTAACAGGCAGTAACAATTTTGCTGTTTTTCCTAAGGCAGAGATTTTTCTTTACACCTTTATTAAACTGTGACACACCTTTCTCCTTGAACAATTTCTGATCAAAAGACAATTGCTTCAAACTTAATGGTTTTGCCACTCTGTTTTACATAGTCTTTATACTCTGATTTGTCACCTGTAATACGACTTATAGGCACATACTCTGTAACAACTGAACTGATTTGTCCCTGACCGTGAATTTAAGAGATGTCTTCTACTCATTTGTTGTTTTTCCTGTTTTATCCCTACTGCTTTCTTCACAGCCTCTTCTGCTTTTACAAGCTCTGTAACAGCAGCTTCTCTCTGTGTGACTGGAGTGTGCCTACACATTTTAAGATTATCGTAAAATCTGAGTCTGGCAGCTGGGGAGACTGGACCCCAGTTCTGAATCACCCATTGGATTGTGTATCCACTCTCTGCGCAAGCAGCTGCTACCCCTCAGTTGCCACCATTGCCAGGTCCCCTCTCCTGCTCCCATCCCAGGCAGGCAAGAGAAAAATGGGTGAACAGCTGCTGTCCGCCTCGCAGGAGGCAGTCCTCTTTCTCCTTGGAGTCCATCGGGCCACGGATCGATTCAGGCACATCCCCCGATGATGCTCAGTCTCCCTCCCCTCCTACCTGGGGCTCTGCATGTGCCAATGAATCCTGGAAGTTGTTGCCGCTGTTGATTCCCTCAGCTGGCAGGCAGTCACCTTCCAGCCACCTATGGGCTTCAGGGAAGGGTCCTGCTCCGGCAGCCTTCTCCTTCTCCTCTTGGACTCTTCTCCCTCAGGGCCAACATGGGGCAATGTTCCTTTGTTTTCCTCTCACCTCCTCCAACAGAAAAAAAACCTCCCCAACTTTAAAATCAGGGCAGCTCAAAACAAGACAAAACCAAAAGAGACAAAGAGAACAATGGGGTCGCCTCTTAAACACCTTGATGGCAGAGGCACTGATTGGCCTGGCCCTGGCCAGAGGCAGGTCCAGCTCCTACCTGGGGGTGGGCAAGGCTCTCAAATCTTCTTAAGAGTCTACACCTGCTTTTACAAAGAAACCCCACCAGACTCAAACCCATGACATATTACCAGTGTGAGCTTCAAACAAATTAGGCCTTATGTTATGAGGGGTTTTTTTGAATTCCATAATACAAGTATCTTAAATGATGTTTTGCATATCTGAAATAATGGTTGATTTGTTTTGCCTGTTACACCATATAAACTCAGTACTTTGCTCAGCAGTTTTTTTGGTAGAGGGAAAAGAGCTGTGCACAAAAGATGAGAATCTTTGAATAAAAGAATTCTAGCACATTTCATCACTATCAGTAGGACAGAAATGTGAAAAGAGGTCAGAGGGTGTTTTGGAGTGTTTTGTTGACAGCAGCCAGCTTCAAGCAATGTAACATGGAAAAGCCCTTGAACTGCTCTGAATTATTGCAGAGCTTATTTTGACATGAAAAGACAGGAAAAAAATGTTAATTTTGGGTTGTGTTTTTTTTTTTAATCAGAGCTCACACTGGAGTCAGGCCAGTTTGCCTTTGAATTTGCCCAGAGTTTATTTTCTATGTTAAGTATAATTAGTCTCTTGTATATCTCTAAGACATTTTAAGTAAAATAATACTTTTCCATTTTGTTTATATAAAGAGCAAAAATAACTATTGAGAGAAAAAGTTATAGTTTGTCCCAGTTGATTGAGTCACATTTAAAGTAAAACCCAAAGTCTTTTGAAGGTAACAGTCTAAGTAGTAGGGAAAAAGAACAAATAAAATCACAAACAAAAATCGCAAACTAAAAAAAAAATCCAAATTGTTTACAGGCTTGTTCATACGTAAAATTTGTTTAGAAGTTTAGACTGAATAATACATGGACTTAGTGTATATAGGAAAATAGGCTTAGTGTATATTCTGTCAGAGAGATCATTTAAGGAGCCTTAAAGAAAAGGACACAACAGGAGCTGTAAAAGACCAAGTTGTTTGAGAAGGTTCTGTTGGGACAGAGGAATTGAATCTTGTGATCCCACACACAACCTACTGCAATATGCCTTGCACCTGGTAAAGCCTGGTTCCACTTAATAGCAGTTTATTTCCTAATGTGCAACTGAAAAATCTCTTAACGTTTTAGTTTATTTATACTAAGCAAGCACACAAAAATCCCATAGCTCTTTTTTTTTGAAGAGGGACAGAAGTGATTATTTATTGAGTTGATTCACTAGTTAGAAAATACAGGAAAATCTTTTTGAAGCTTTGCTTACAGATACTATTTGAAAGGATTGCATCTTAGCTTTTGAGCTTTGTGCTACTAAAATCAATGTACCTAAAAACAGCACCTACACTTTTTAAGGCATGTTCAAGTGTTGTTTAATACGTACTTGGTGCTACCGTGAATGAGGTGGTTGTTACAGATTAAAATGGTATATTTTAAAATATTATTTTTTCAATAAGCTTTTGGTACTTAGAATCCTCTCACATTTTTTGCTGGACTAAGTACTATTATACAAGAACTGCCAAAATGCATCATTCCTTATAATACAGAAAATTTTAACAATTAACTTAATAGTTGTAGTAGTAGCATTGTGTAATTTATAGTTTGATATTTTTATTGGACATTTGGCGCCTAATGGAAAGTATGGCTGCAGAATGCTCTTCGAACGAAGGCCTGTTAAATTAATGGCCCATAAAAATAAAAGTGTTCCAGTCTGTGTCCATTCACGTAGAATGTTACTTAAGACAGTTATAAAATGGTATTACACTGCTAAATGAGCTCTTTCGTTTTTCTTAAGGAAAGCTAAAAGTTGTTATAGATATCGGTGGACCATATGTTTAGATGATAAAAACCTGAAGAACTGAATGTTAATTCAGTTGCTGGGGACAAAAAAAAAATCGGTTTCTGAGTGGTGTGTGTGTGTATATAGCTAATCTACAGATAGCCCTTTGTCTGTAGATATTCATAGAAATAACGTTTCAATAAAATTTGAAGGTATTTGAGAGTATAAGTAATGCTAATTCAGTTGTTGGGGCAAGAAAAAGATTTCCGTTTCTGAGTGATGTTATATATATAGTACTGTATATATTCAGGAGATATTTGAGAATATAAGCATTTTTTTATATTACAGTAGCAAAAGCTTTTCCTTTTTTTTTGCTCTTTTTGGTACACAGTTACCTTACTTGATTATTTATTTTGTAAGACACTTTACTGAGTTCCAAATAGTTATTATTTTCTTGTTATCAAAATGAAGTTTTTTCCTTAGAAAAAATTGCAGAAAATTTAATTTCTGTTGTCATTCGTAGCCAAGATGAAGAAGAACAGGATGGTTTCCCAGAAGTACAAGCCTCTCCACCTCCTTCACCATTTCTTTCTGCCATATTGGCAGCTTTCCAACCAGTGGCATACGATGATGAAGAGCAAGCCTGGCGCTGCCACGTCAATCAAATGCTGTCAGATACAGATGGATCTTGTGCTGTCTATACCTTTCACGTCTTCTCAAGGTTGTTTCAGGTCAGTGAATTGCCAGTGCATGGTTGCTTGTCTGAAATCCTTTCAAAACTATTCTTCCCTTCCGTAAAATACAAAAGCCACAACATTCTGGTAGCAAGAAGCCTTAGACAGCAAATGAAAAGTAGACAAAAACCCCCACATTGTTAAAAAAATGTTATATGGTCTTACACTCTTTTTTCATGTCATATCTGCTGTATTCATTGCCTAGGAATGATTCTACTTGGGGTGAGGGTGGGGAAACTGCTAAAAAAAAAGTTCAGTGTTTCTTGGAAGCTCTTAGTTCAGGTTGTTTCTCTTAGTTTCTGAATGCCACCCAGACTCTGTGCTGATTACAGAATTAATGTCTTCCTCCTGGGTTTTCTGTGGAATTCATTATGATGAGATAGCAGCATGACAAACATTAATGAAATTATCTTGCATGTCTCCTGATAAAAGGTGTTGGTTTTTTTCCTCCAGAGAAATAATTGAAACACCAGGAGATCCACTAAAGCTGGAAGTTTTAAATGCTTCTCTCTATAGCTATATTTACCTCATAGATGTGGTATCCAGCATAAAATGCCTATGCCTTAATTTTTCTGGCTCCTTCCTACCTCTGTGTAGGGATGGTTTTTTTACATTTTCAAAGTGACACCACTTGGACATACATTATTCTTTGTAAGTTCTTAAGGGATAGGAGGAGGACAGTTCATCCATTTTATTTGCAGGCAAAGTGCCAAGAGAGCCAAGAGCAGATTCAGTACAAAACCCCCACAACCTCATAATTCCAACCTTTTCTTATATCTCCAATATTAATTTTGCTTTCTGCTTAGTATATCGTAATAATTTGTCAGTGAATCTCTCATCACGCTAGCACATGTTTTATCCTATATGTAGGGGCAGGTTTAGGGTTAGTACCATGTGAAGTAACTTACGTGTGAAGAATTCATACTCTGCCTTATCCATGGAGTAACTTGTTTGTGCTTCTGCACCCAATTTCCGTTTTTAGTTGAACCAAGTGTTTTGCCTCAACACTGTGAAATTCCTGTTACTGGTTACAGATCTTTGTTTTCTTGCTTCATCTAGACATCAAGGGTATAGGTTTTTTGTATTACACTAAAGTTTAGTTGCACTTGCTTTTCACACATTCATTAATTTCCTCAAAGTGGTAAAATGGGACTTTATATTCTCTTGTGTTCATTTAAGAGGGAGCTAGAAAGAAAGATGAAGCTTTCTGTGGCTTAAGAGGAGAGCTCGCCCTCAGTCAGCTGGAAAGGAGAATACTCTGGGAAAAGAGGCAACAGCAATCCAGGATTACAGCCTGGGAAAAGGAGCGTTTGTGAGGAGTTGTTACAGGGTACAGAGGAGGATTAAAATGATTAAATGAGGTCTTGGAGGCCTTGTTTGACTGGGCATTTCCATTTTGCCTTCTGGCTCCTGTACTATGTTTAACTTTACAGCTGTAAAAATCATCTTTGTGAACATATAGCAAAGTGTGATGTTCTATTAGGCTGACAGTCTACATAACTGAACGTGATATATACATAGGACTGATTTTTGAAGAAGGTAGAAACCCTGCAGGTGGCAGTTTTGGACACAGATTGTGCTACGTGGGTTGTATTCTGGCTTGTAAAACCGTGATTTTCTGCAATGCAAACACTTGAAAATTAATTGAACTACTATTTATACTGCAGTAAGACAAACAGTCATCTGGCTATACTGATGCTGAAGGCCTAGATGTCAAAGGATTAATTTTTCTTATAGATACAGGCTGGTTTTATTTAGTGGTTCCATTTTCTGCATTTAGTTTTATATAAATATTCAGAGCAAATTTTGTATTAGTTTGTAATTTAATGACAAAAACATGTTGTCCTGAAATTCTTAATCTAAAAAGCCAGAAGAGTAAAATGCGATGTAAAATAAATGTTTTTCTTACTTGATTTCTAGACAATTCAAAGAAAGTTTGTATCTATAACAAATGATTCGGTCAGCTTTCTTGGTGAAAGTCTACAGCGCATTGGAACAAAATTTAAAAGTTCTCTGGAAGTGATGATGTTATGTTCAGAATGTCCGACAGTGTTTGTGGATGCAGAAACGGTAAAAATCTCATAAACTTATATTCTGAAATATCTGTCTGCCTACACATTTTTATGTAACATACAAAATCATGTTTTAACATTGGGAAAATAACAGTGCTTGGGAAGATTTTCAAAGGTTTGAATAAAATATTTTATATTTTTGCCTTTTAAAAGGTTGCTCTCTGATGTCACTAATTGAAGCATCTGAGTAATTCTGCGATGTGAAAAAAAAAGATGCTTAAAATTGAAATCGGAAAGAAATTTAAAGTGTTAGGTGGTCAAAATGTATCATAAATAGTTGAAGTGCATTTTCTCCAAAAATAACCTTCAGCTGTAACAACAGAGAGCTTACTGATACTAGATATCACTTAAATTCCCTTGCTATTCTTTACCTTCCCTACTTATTCATATTTATTCTATATTCTTTGCATGGAGAAGTGACTGTGCAAAGGAAAACTACTTATTTAGCAGCAACCTTACCTTTTTTAATTGTGTTGTTTATGTATGTATTCAGTGATACATGAGAAAAACATTCTAGTTACAAATAAACAACAAAGGCTTGAATTGTTTTGTTATGCAAGTTGAAATTTTTGATTGTAATAAGTAATAATGTGAGGAGTGAGCTAAATGTTCAGCAGCAGTCAAAAAAGCTATGCTAGAACAATTAAAAGAGACAGCAGAATGGAAAAAAATATTGAGCTAATTTATATATCCCCAGTATGCCTACATCTTGAATTTTGGGAGCAGTTCTGGTTTCCTGCTCTCAGAGAAAACATAGTTGAACTGGAAAAGGCTCCAAGAAAGATCACAAGGATTATGAAATAGAATGGCTTCCATATAAGATACACGAGTATGTAGGCTCGGATTTTTTCAGCCTTTTAGGACAGCAATCTGTCCATAGATGTCTTGTTTATTATGGAAAAGCAATAGAAATTATTGTATTGTTGTCTTATTTGATGTTAAGGGCCATCAAATTAAGCTAATAGTGACTTAAAAACCATGCAGAACTGAAAGTACGCGATCTGTCACATGATACGTAATTGAACTGTGAAACCTTGTCCTGTTCTACAGTGTCTGTTCATGTTTTCAAAAAGTGATCAGAGAGATTCAGTAAAGAAATAGCCCTGGATAGATTTTTGAATATGCAGAACAACACGTTGTCAGAGGCTAAGCAAGCATTTTGGTGCAAGTGGATCACCACGTGCTTGCCCTAGTTTGCCCTTCCTTAAGCAACTTCTATCAGACTTAGTGAGATGGGGACTGAGACAGACGGATCTTTGGCCTTGACTCAGTGTGGGACTGTTCTCTGACCTGATTTTTTCCCTTAATGCTAAGGGGCAATTCTGCTCTTACGCTCTCACTTTAGAATATGGGGACTAAAAAAGCATGATACAGATAGTACATTTCAAGGGAACCATGGAGAAAATTATTTGGGATAAGAAGCCTCAAGAAGCGTTACACTAGTTCTAGCTGGAACAGCACATGTGTTTTAAAAATAAATAAGTAAGCACACACACATATATAAAATAAAAATATGAAAAAGGAATAATAAAGGTATATGTGCACAGATATACAGACTTGTGTGTATGTGCATGTGTGTGTGCATGCACACAGGAGTGTTACTACAGGAAGCATGTTAGAGGCATGATCATTACAGGATGCATCAGGACAAGATTAATAAGAAAAACCTAAGTGGAAATAAAACTACAGGGAGAAATCATAGAATTGTTTTGGTTGGAAAAGACCTTTAAGGTCATCAATGTAACCATTATGTAACTCTACCAGGCCCACTTCTAACTGTGTCCCTGAGCGCCATGTTTAGGTGGCTTTTAAACACATCTAAGGGTGGCAATTCAGCCACTTCCCTGGGCAGCCTGTTCCAGCCTTTTATAACCCTTCCAGTGCAGATGTTTTTCCTAATGTCTGACCTGAACCTCCCCTCTTCTTGTCCTATCACTTGTAACTTGTGAGAAGAGACCAACCTCCACCTCTCTACAGCCTCCTTTCAGGTGGTTGTAGAGAGTGATATGATCTCCCCTTACCCTCCTTTTCTGAAGAAACAACCTCAGTTCCCTCAGCCACTCCTCATTTAGACTTGTTCTCGAGACCTTTCACCAGCTTAGTTGCAAAGCCTGAGGTAGCAGCCCCCAAGGGAAAAAGATTTTAAAACTATGTTGAAAAAGGCAAAGTCATTAATGGTAGAAAATTTTTCAAATTTGCTTCTAACTGCGTTGCCACTCCTTAGAAACAATCCAGCAGTACTTTTTATTTCCTGCTGCAGCCTATTCTGTACACTAGCTGTGTGTACATCAAATATTGTTCTTTTTGAAAGATCTAAAAATGCCTTTGAAATCTTTCAAGTGTTAGCTAGGTACTGCCCTTCTTATTTTGGAATCAAAACTATTGTTCTCTGATTCAACTGATACAGCTACACGTTAGTTTACTAACTCAAGGTGCTACGAATGATCTGTACCCCACTAATTCTTATCTCATTGTTTTTCCAAATGTGAATTTGGAATTTCATATTCTATAATTTCTATATAATTTAGATACTAGGCTATATGGATTATAGTTAGATATAACATGACTACAGAGGTGATTGCTGTTATCTTTCAGCTAATGTCTTGTGGCCTGCTAGAAACATTGAAGTTCAGTGTTCTGGAGCTCCAAGAACATTTGGATACCTATAATGTCAAAAGAGAGGCAGCAGAACAGGTGAGTCTATTATATTTCAAAACAAAAAATAGTAGAACCCACACATCATGAAAATGTTGCAGGTCTTTATCTCTCAACAGGAGTATCCAAAAGTAAACTGAGTGAAAAAAAATCCAAAATACAATCCTGTTTCCTTTCTGAACGTCAGGTTTTTATGTGTAATTCATTTTTGTTGCATGTATTTCTGAAATGGACTTTGAATATATAACATTGCACAAATGCACTAATATTGGGAAAAGTATATTCCTAATTTGAAAATTCTCTTTAAAATATTCAGATATTTTTAATATGAATATCGATAAATCAGAGTTGGTTTTCTTTATGAACATTCTGGCTTATTTTATTAGACTGGCTTATTTTTTATAGATTCACCTTCAGATTTAAGACATTTAGAGATAACTATCTATATGTGAATTAAGTGCCTTAACACTTACAGTATTCTGGAATCAAGTCAATAAAAGATTAAGCAATGCATTTTCTTGTAATCCAGATGCTGACTTGTTGCTCAGCTGAATAGGTCTTCTAGACTTTTTTTGTTGACTGGATCTCCACTGACTGTTAGGGGCGGCTTGAACAGCTGTGTCATATATAGGTGTCTCAGCCTGCAGGTGGATCCCATTAAGGCTGATGTTTGTGGTAGTTATTTAGAATAATAATACAGTTTTGTTTTCAAGGTATATCATAGTGGTTATATCCTTTTTGCAAAGAAACACAAAGTTTAAAAATCCAAAATTGCTGTAGCAGTGGTCTGTATATTTGTTTTTGTGAGCCTTCATGTGAAGTTTAGGAAGACGCTAACTTTAGAAAATTGAAACAGTAAGATTTCTATTTCAAGAGCCAGAAGAAAACATGAATCTACAGTCTGTTTTGTAGATACAGGGAGAAAGAATATAGGGGGCTTTTGTTATAGAGAGAAAATGATTCCTATAAAAATGAAATAATGCATTTGAAGGAACTTTTTACTGATCTCAGCAGCCTGTGAGGCGATGACAATGGCTGTTACAGGCAAGTTTGAGTGATGTGAAAAAGAAAGAGAATTCAAGCCGTGACATCTTGGCAGAAGCTGTATTTTGCAGCACAGTGGCTCCATGTTTCTTGATCGTGCTGAGTTTATTAGGAATTGATGGCCTCTGCCTTGCAAAGATTGCTGACATCTCATCTCTTGAATAGAACAGACATCCACTTTTTTGTGGAAGGGATCTCAAAAGAAATGCGGTTTCCTCAAAACCAATGCTGAAATATGCCACACAGCACTGTTAGTGTACATAAACTCTTCCTAGGATCCAAGCCAGCATTTCTGCAAAAGAGCTGCTGCCTTTTTTGCCCTGCTCTGTGGTAATAACAATTTGTTTGTAAACTGACTCATGAGTTCTAATAAATGAGTTATGTTTTGCCATTTGTGCTTAATCAGAAACAAAAGTGCTCGTCTAATGACTAAGATTACCATACTCAATGTAATATTTCATGTCTGACAATCTCCAGTGCGTAATGCTGTCATCACTCCTGTGAGAAAATAATGTATTTTATTTCATTTTTAGAGAGCCACCCTGAGGGCACAGAGAGACTAACTGATTTGGCTCAAAGTCAGACAGAAGATTTGAGGCAGAGTAGAGAGGAACTCGTATGATGAGTTAAAATTGCATCTCTTTCAGATGGCCATGAATTCACTTAATGTATTTTTTACCTAATTTTGCACTGCCACATATCGTATCGATGTAAATCCACGCTGGATGTTAAAGAGCTTGTTTGTATTTTATTTTACCTTATAAAGAAATGTGGATATCTATCTGATGGCTTCTGTCATGACAGTGAAAGAGCGCTGTTTTCCTGTAGCGCAGCTGTCAAAAGAGTATCCAGTAACATATTTCTGTGGTCAGCCTGTCTTCTGCTACAGGATTTGTGAGTGACTGGAGCAGGAAGAAGGTTCACAGGATGAAAGGAATTGTTCTGAAATAACTGAGAGCATTTTGCCAGGGTTTTATTTTTATTTAGTAATTTATAAATAAAAAAGCAGTACTGAGGAGGAAGAGATTTATACTTCAGCCAGGCATTTCTGACTCTTGATAGCATGTCATTTAGCACATCTAGTGCATTATTTATGTATTTATTTAGCACGTTAATTTAGAAGTAATGATCTCAGACAATTTATTTTTCTAAAACTTTTTTAAAAAGCACTTCTTCAGCTGTTGCTCCTCAGGTTTTTGAGCTGTGCATTATATAGTATATGTAGACTAAGAATCTTCCAAAGCTATTTCTCAGATATGTTTTATTAGTTTTCTTATTCTGTCCTATTAAACGGGGTATTGGTAATGACTGGAAAGAGCCTTCCTCCAGTCATGTTGGAATTTCTGTTACTGCATGCAGTTGCACTGTGTGTCTTATTCAGTCTGAAAGCATTAAGGCAAAACACATAATGAGCTTACTGCAGGTCCTTGCTTTTTTCATAGACAGATGCAGAAAATTGATCCAACTAAGCTGGTTGGGCTACTTTATAATAAAGTAAATATAAATTAACAGATATTTAAGTAAAATGTGTGTGTCAATCTGGTATGCTCTAGAATCAGCCACTGGAAAATTTTGTACATTAACTCAAGGTTGCGGGTTTGATTCCCGCTCGGTCCCCATGTGTTGCCTGGTCTAGTCGAGAGGTGGCGTCCCTGCCCAAAACAGGGAGGTTGGACTAGATGATCTCTAAGGTCCTTTCCAGCCTAGGCCATTCTATCATTCTATGATTCTTGTTTAAAGTTTACCGTAATAGACTGACGTCTGTCACTGTCAGTGCTATGTTGTACTGGTGCTCACATGAATCAGATTTAAAAAGTAAGAGACTTGGGCTGCAGTCACTTTGAAAGTCTTACCTTTCTCTCTCATCTCAGTGCATAGGTATCTATACTGTAGGAGCTGGTTTGGGATGTCTGTTTTGGGGTTAGTCTGGCAAACCAGCCTGTGCTATGACCAAGACCAACCATAAACTTCGCTCTGTTACGCTTTCAGTAACGCTCTTCACCCTGTATCTTTGTAGGAGATATAGGGGGAAAACATAAATTGATGTAAAGCAAACACGTAAAGAAGATTATTTTGTCACACAGTCTACTGCTGTTCCTGAAGAGAAAATTTAGGTCTTTCTACAGTGCTGAACATATATTCTGTAAAAAAAATTAGCAAATTAATTTAGTCATTTTTTTAGAGCTACTCTTCTGCGTCCTTGCAAGGAAACTGCTTTGGCTTAATGTGTGTATTAGGGATGAAAATAGTGTGTCAGATAAATGTAGTAGAAAATATAAGGTTTTATGTATACTGTAGTATCCTAGTTACATCCTTTATTCAGACTTGTTTCAAGATTTAAGAAATATTTTAAGGGCTATGTGTGAAAATAAATACTAGCTTCCTAATTGCTGATGCTGTTTGTTCCAGTGCAAGCCTATTCCATTGTTACTGACGGATGCTGTCAGATAAAAAGAAAAATGAGATTTGCTGTGTACCTTGGTATCCATGTCACTAATTGAAACTGACACCACCATGTTTAGAGAATTCCATTTCTCCTCTTGATAAGCACACAGGCCTAGTTAATTCACTAAGTAACCTTTATTAAATTGAGCAGATGGGGAATCGCATTTTTCTTTTTCTTGCATCAGCCAAAGGTTAGAAAAAGGTCACTAAGATTTCCAGTGAGACTAAAGATATCAAGCACACAGTATGCTAAATTATTCTTCCTTGGATGTATAGAGGCTGGTCTTCATTTCAGATGATTATCTGCACTTGATCTCGACATGATGCATACCCATTTCAGTAATACCTGAATTACCTCATAGTTGCAGTTGTTCACACTGTACAGAAACAATATGACGGGCACTGTGTCGATGAGATGATTAGGTCATATTGTCCAAGAGGAGCATACTTGATGCTGCAAATGCTTTATGTTAACACTTTTAGATTTGCATAGTTGGTTAAAGCTAGAAGAGCTTACCTACCGAAATGAATAAACTTCTTGTCTGCTATAGGAACTGGGGTTAAATACAGCACGTATTCATGCAAGAGAGTGGAACATGCATGTTTGCATTGTGTAATGTGAGAGTACTTCATCTCCCTGGCTTGTATGAACTGGAGGTGATGCTGAATTCCAATGAAGAATTTTTTTTAATTTCCATCCAGTAAACCTGCACTTGCCTGTAGTTACACAAGAGAGCTGTTTCCTTCTGTTTCTAAAGTAGTCCCAAGAAATATAACAGGCTTACCCTTCCTCTCTAATCTGAATTAGTGTTATATCTTAAATGCTGAGTAATCCTGTTGGTGTAAACCTTGTGCAGCAAGTAAAGAGAAAATATGATCTCATTTAATGAAAGGGATTTTTCTGCCTCCCACACATCTCACTGTAACAGTACCCTAATTCAATCACAGATTAGTATTTATGCTAACGTGTGCTGTGCCCATCTGGGTTAAAGAAGGCTACAGGAAATTTGCAACGGAAGGGACACAATAAAAACGACAAAATGATGTATCAGAGTGGAACTCATTAGTGGAAGCAATATTGGTACACAATTGATTTCATATCACAGTTTCTTGAGGAATCTGAGAACATGCAAGTCTTGATGAAGTTTCTTACGCAGTTTTAGCAGTCTTCAGTTTGTTCTGTTTCAGAAGATATTTAATCTTGTTTATATCTATTTTGCAGTGGCTAGAAGACTGCAAAAGAACATTTGGTACTGATGATGGTATTCATGGCACTAACACAGATGCCCAGGTAGGTGTATGTCATTTGTGAGTCTCTGGATGCGAGATTAAAATGCATCTTTGTATCTGTTGCACAAAAAATCCAATACTTGCAGAGAGATGAACAATGTATGAAAAGCTTTTCATTTCAGTTATCGTCCTATCTTTTGGAAATTCAGATTCTTATGAAGTAGTGGTCTAATAAGAAGAGCTCTTTTTAATAAAAGTTGGCATCCTGTCCTGTGTTCTAGGCTTAATAATACTGAGTTGATAAGCAGGCTAGATACCATCTATGTACCAGCAAGTCCACTTTTCTGCAGCTGTTTCTAGAAGAAAAGCCAAAAGACTGGCATTCTGCTTATATGCTCAGATAAACCGTCTAGCCAAAAACCTCTACGGAATTGAATATAATTAGTACTATATAAATACATATGACCTTTCTGGAGCCATTATTTGGGTGAGAAGGAACAGGGAGTAAAGTAGCAATATGGCAAAAAACTCATTAAACACTTCTGTCAAAATATCATCTAACAATAATAGATGAAGTAACCTGTTAATATTAGTTCAGTACTTTGTATGTATTTGCATGGCAGTCATCCATGTTTAATATTACTAATTGCTATAGTAAGTGATAGCTTTTTCCCAATACTTTTGTTTTAAACAATAGCTGCATCATATTGACACTGTAGATAAAAAAAATTCAAAACTATTATTAGTAGGTACAAGGAATCTGCCATCTAGAATCCTGTAATAAGAACAGTGAAAGATGTAAAAGGTAGAATTGCAGGTAGCACCTAAACTTAGCTTTTCACAATGACATTCTGACAAAAGTCCCAAATCCAAGCTGAAAAAGGAGGAATTTCTTATATTCAATTGAACTCTATTCACGGAGGCACTTGGTCATACTTCTGCTGCTGCAAATGTAGTGTTCAGCAGCAGAACTCTGTGCTGTGTGCATGGACTGTTTCTTCTTTTATACAGTTTTTATTCGCTCTCGTATGCGTGTATATATATATAAAAAAAATCAGTCACAAAATGCACCTGAATCTTGAGAGTAATGACACATGATAATATATGGTTGATTTTTACATTGCATTGCAGCTGCACATTTTTTTTTTTTTTGGAGTGATAAGCATAAGTTAATACAGCGCAATGATTTGCTACCATTTGCAAGGATTTTTGCTTCGACTATGAGCACAGTGTTTAGTGTATTTTACACTTGTTTACATCTTTGTATACTGACTGGTACATGTTTAGAAATATGTAACAGCATTTACTACTACAACATAGTAAATGTTCTGCATATTAAAAAAAAAGCAGCGTTTATATGTTTCAGTCTATATTTAGAATGTTATTTCTGTACACCTAGAACCTGTTCTAATATTTAAGTGTTAGAACGTAACTGTTCTTACCATGAAGGTAAATGTTACTGTTCCCACTGTATAGCTGGGGAACTACAAAATGGAAGAAAAGCCATGTGCAGGCTTTTATTTAGTTTGCATGGAAAGAATCCAGGCTTCTGAGTGAGGCAGTTTTGTGTCTGTTCTTCCTCATTTCTGCAGGGTCTGAGAAGGAGTTACATGACCCATTCACGTTGATTATTTGTGAGAACCTATTTTTGGTTTTCAATCCTAGCCTGTGAGGAATGCTGGCAATTTTTTCTTTACATGCTCCTTGCACTTGCCAGTTACTTAAAATGATTTTAATATATAGTATCCATTGAGAAGGCACAGTCTGGTTATCCTGCTTCATAAATATACATAATTTACAGAAGTTCTGATTTTTTTTGCAGAAGCTTATAGTGACTTGAGGCAGATTGAGAAGTTACCAAGTACAAGATCATTGTTTCAGAAGTCCTTGTAAATGGAATATGGGGCTGATAAGTCTATTCAGTCAAGCAGTTAATGCTAAAAATACGTGGGTTCTTTTGCTCAGGAAAACAGAGTTGCTTCATTCAGTAGGTATTTTTCATTCACTAACACAAATAAGATTTTCTTACTAATTTTTAGCACTGTGGTCAACACAGCTAAGGAATAGTGAGATGAATTCTGTTCTGGCTCATGCATTGCCAGCAGACTTGCAAGTAAATCTAATTACTGGATTTTTGCTATTAGTACTTGCATGCAAGTCTGAAAGAATGTATCTGGACTCTGGCTAGACTGTTTGTACAGGACTGGCAGATAGAAAAATCAGATTATTTCTTAAGTGAGCAAGTATGTGAAAGACACTGAAGCAGTACAAAGCCATTTTTCAAGGAAAACCTCTCTTGAATTTTTAGAATATCAAGGTGTGATTTGGGGGGAGAGAGATTATTTATGGCTTACAGTAATAATGAGATTTGGCTTAAAGAACACTGGAACTTAATGTCTAAAAATATTAAATAATCAACCCTGCCATTCCTCAAAGTCATATTCTCTGTGCTTCATTAAAGCGAGTCATAGAATTCTTGTCAGCTTTGGCAGTTCAGGCTCTTATCTCTCGCAATGTTCTGTGCATCAGGAGTTTTTGCTTATAAAATCATTGTGCTTACGTATGTGATAGCACAGACTGTAGTCTGTAGAACAAAAACGTGAAATGTTTATAGTCTGTTAAGCACATGGCATATAACTTATACGTATTGTGTATAACTGTGTGCTTCATAAAGCTCACCTGCTTCTGCCTGTTGGAATCAGACACTGGTTGCATTTTCCTGTGTTTACTGTGACCATTGTACTTGCTTAAATGCCATCGGTGTGCTTACCCCTGCACAAAGCACAGAAGGGAAGTTCTTGTCCGTAGTCTCAACAAATACATTCTGACAATTTCTCTCCCTGTCCCTTTCCCAAACGGTTTTTTGAAATAGCTTGTAAAAGCCAAGTGCAATTAAACTACAGAGATTTCACAAGGAGGTATGGAGAATTGAGTTTAGCAAAACCAAGACTTTTCTAAACTGATTCAGAATCCAAAATAACTTGCCATGTCAAATTTTAAAAGGCATTATTTTTGCTTAAACTACAGCATTACAGAACAATTAAGAAGCATTGTACAGATGTTCAGACCTAAGTGTCCTTGGTTTTGATTTCCTTAGATTTGCATACCTGTAAGACCGTACAACATATAAACGGACAGGGTTGTAAGTGAAATATGCTACTTATGATGTGGGACAACAAAGCCAATGCTATCTGTTGTTAGTTACAGCAGCAAGTAATTTCACTTCAAATTCAGTCTCCTAGTTTTGTTTTTTTTCCAGTCAGGGTATATTTGGAGCATGTTACTTGTATTTCTTCCTCCATTTTACTTGGGACATCTTTTACCCTAATTAAAATTATTTCCTACACTAATTCTTGATCTTTTTTTCTTTCTTTGTATTTTTGTGACCTGCTCATCCTCTTGCTTAGCAAATGGAAATTCTAGCAGTAAGTGACGGTTCTTGATTTATCAAATACTTAACCGCGCCAGTCACCAAACTGGTCTCCATCTGTCTCGTCCCTTTGTGACATAGTGATGTCTTGTCATCGACTTAAAAAATTGCTGTGTGCTTCAGTTTTGCATCATCTAACCCATTGAACTGTTGGTCTTTTGTAGATAATAGGATCCTGTACTTAGTAGGAGGTTATAGAAGATTATTCCGTTAGCACTAGCTTTTATGTCTGTATGTAAAGCAGAATTAACACTGTCTGCACTTCAACTAGTATTTTAGATGCACAAAAATGGAAACAACAGTTCCTAAGCTGAGCTGCTGTTTCATTTCCTTAAGAATGTATCCTGTATTTTCTAAAGTATAATCAGAGCTACCTTTTATAAAGGAAACATTATTCTTGCCTCCAAGAATAGAATTATTCTCCTTTTACTCCATCAGGCATTTTTAAGCTGAGGGCCAGGTTATATACTGTGCTTACGTATTTATATTAGTGGTTATGATAGAGTCTATACTTACAGACCACAACTTTCTTTTGGATGTCAGATCTTGAATTTAAAACAGTAAAATACCAACAATAAAAGTGATGTATGAAACACTCTGTCTTGGAACATGACACTTAAAATGCCTCTTGAATCACTTCACATCCCACCCCACCCCCTTGTATGTAACTTCTTGTTAAAAAGTAAACTTTGTGTGAGAGAAGGCTACCTGTAAATCTAGAACTGAATGAAGCTTTCATCTGCTTTTCATTAGCTTCCTGCTACATTAGCTTCTAAATCTTTTTGGCATTTTCTTCAGCAACCAAGTAACTAGTTTTATTTTTGCACATTCTGTACTGAAGAAGTTGTTGTTTACTGTCTGTTGTATTGGATAGTAGATGTTTTGTGTTTCGTGAATATAAGAATGTTGTTCACATTTACAGGAACTGGAGTTGTGTCGGAGGCTATACAAGCTGCATTTCCAGTTGCTGCTTCTGTTCCAAGCCTACTGCAAACTCATCAGCCAAGTAAAAACAATCAAAAAAGAAGCAGAGGTAATTAAAACCATGCCATTTAGCTACTAATTGTTGACATTTTAAAGCTGAACCATTTAAAATACGTTTTGATAACATTTTCATCAGTGGGCCATTTTTCTAGAAACTAAAGAAGGATACCAGCTGTTTTATAGTCAATTAATAAAACATGTAAGTAGAGCTCACATGAATTTTCTGAGATGTTCAATTACCTCTGTTGATTTTTGTACAGCTTGAATGCTCTTAAATAGGCAGGAACGCGGGTTGTCCAGTGATGAGCATTCAAAACATTTCACTAGCACTCCTGGTGTATTCTAATCAAGCTACAATCAAGGCACATCAACTCCAATCAACAGAGTTCTGTGATGAAGCCCTTTTCCATCACGCCACTGTTTTCTACTGCAAACACTGTCACTTGCTACCAGTTGATATATGTAACTGTGTCACTTCAGCCAGTTCCTCTGCAACTTTCGTCGCCATCCTAAGTGCAGTTAGTAATGTGTTCTAGACATCCTGGGCCTCTAGGAATAAAATGTGCACATGGTACATATGTGATGTCAATTGAGTTAATCCAAATGCATTATGCTCTTAATAATGTCTTCTGAAAGTTCTCTCCTGGGTCTGTAATGCAATAAATGGAGGTAGCAGGGTTAAAAAATAGGTCTGGTCTCACTTGGTATCGTAGGGAGGAAAACAAAGTAGGATGAAAACGTTTGGGTAGCTTAGATTTCCAGAGTTTTTAGAGGCTGCAAATCAGCAACTTAATTTCTATCTGGAGAATGCTGTGGATGGTCAGCATCACGCCAGGCCCATTTCTTACCTGTTAGTCAGATGCAGAACCATATTTGGAGTGATGGCCGTGTCTTACTCATAGATTGGAGCTACAGCTGAAGGTAGTATCATCAGAGGAAAGGTCAAATACCTGACATACACACTTAGGCCATTAAATTAACTCTGCTTGAGCAACTGCAGCAAATATTTGGATGTACTTTTTCTGCCTCTCTTTTATGATTGCAAAGCGAGGGAAAAATTTAAGTCTGATCTACTGGAAGTTAATATGGCTGAAAAGACATTTAAACTAGAAGAGGCAACTCTTATGTTTGTTTTAGGTCATAAACATGTCTGAAGAACTTGCTCTTCTGGAGAGCTGCCTGAAAGAGGCTGAGGCTGCGTCTGACAGTGGTATCGAAGAAATTGAAATTGCAGAGGCTTCCCAAGCTAGCACAGAAACAGCTATTCACTCTCTCATTGAAACCCTGAGAAACAAGGAGTTTGTGTCAGCTGTAGCACAAGTCAAGGCTTTCAGGTAAGTGCTTACGGACTGCTTTCAGACCTGAGTTTGCTAATAGGCCTTTTAAATGTAAAGATAGACACTATTCCAGTTTTTTTTTTTCCCAGCTCTTGTTAGATAGCCTTACTGAAAAGGACAAGCTTTGCTTCATTAGAGCTTGTTCATAAGCATTTTGCAATTTTTTAAAAAAGCAATTCTAATACTACTTGTTCTTTAGAACTTATCCCTAAGAAAATTATACTGTTAACTATCAGGACTCCACAAAATAAACATTTATCTTATGCTTTCCTATGTCTTTTGTTCAAATGCCTATAAACATTTTTTTATATTTTTTTAAATGTTTAAATTCAAATTGTGTGTTTACAGATCTATTTGGCCCCATGACATCTTCGGCAGTTCTGAAGACGACCCAGTTCAAACACTGCTGCACATATATTTCCGTCATCAGACGCTTGGTCAAACTGGTAGCTTCGCAGTAGTAGGCTCCAACCAAGATATGTCTGAGGCCAGCTCAAAGCTGATGGAACTTAATCTAGAAATTCGGGAGTCTCTACGCATGGTGCAATCCTATCAGCTTCTAGGGAAAATCAAACCAGGAGTAAATGTTGTGAGCACTGGATTCTGAACAGCTGTCGTTTAGAAAAGAACTGATGATGGAGATGCTTCAGACTATTATTGCACCTTTCATAAAAAAAGAAAAAAAGAAAAAAAATGAAGAAATAGAAAAAAGAAAAATACTCCAGCAATTCTAACAACCAACACGGTTTCATCACAGCAAGATATTGTTTCATCAAAAGTAAAAAAAACGAAAAGTGAACATCTTACTTGACTGCTCTTTCTACACAGCAGCTGTGTGGCAGTAGTATTTTTTTATTAAATTTATGTATAAAAACTACACAAAAGCAAAAGGGCTTAAATGTAATGCATACATATGCATTATTCGCTGTTGTAACAGAACTATAAATGGTGTTTGCAGTAACAGCCTCTAAAGGTTGAGTCAGTATCGCAGGTGGGATGAGGCTAAAACCAAGGCTGGTTTATTTTGGCTGAAGACCTGCAAAGCTTCTTGGCTTTCCAGCAGCAGTAGATCTAATCATCAACTAATACCTAATGAGACACTTTGCAACGTCATGAAGAATGTGTGGTCAAACATGAGTAGAATGACTTGCGACTGCAAACACCCTTGACTTTTCAGTGTTTTATTTGCTTTTGTTGTCTGTAAAAAGGAAATTATGTGTGTGAGTTAGAGTGTGTGGCTATGTGACAGTTGTTTTTTGAAGGTATGGATGATTGTTAAATAAGGTCTCAGAGCATGCTTAAAAGAGCTGCAAGATTATTTTTGAAGAAATTTTATTTTATTAGATCTAATCCTCATAGTATGTAAATGTTAGGACATTTAATAATATTTTAAACTGGGATTTCCCAGTGTTTCTAAAAGAAATAATATATCTGTTAACTTTATTGGAATGCTGCTCAGTTCTCTGATCAGTGCTTATGTTACAAATATTGATAACAACTAACCAAAAAGTAGCTGCCTGCAGAGACTTTAAAATGTATATTAAAGATATATGCTGCCCATCAGCAATTCTCATTAGAAGTTAACTTATTTTATTCTGTATATATTCTAGAAACTGTATAGTGCAAAACCAGTATTTTTCTTGTAAATTTTTGCAATGCACTGTTAAGACAGTAGGTGTATAAAGCTATGAGGGGGAGGGAGGGGTTCTCCCTAGCAGTGGTCACATACATTACTTGTAGTTTGCAGGGTTTAAAGAGTTTGAATGCACATATATGCATCTTCATGATTCAACTGAAGCCTAAGGAATAGGGACTATATATTAAAAAACCTGACTACCAAAACGTGCAAACAGGCAATATACTCATAGTTTAGTGTCAAAGTCTGTAGCATAAAACAAACTGGATTCTGTTGAAACCAATAGCATTTTCTTAAAAAAAAATTTAAAAAAAAAAGAAAAAAAAGAAAAAGACTGATTTAAAAAAAAAACGAAAAAAGAATGAAAGAATGTAGTCCCATGATTCCTGTGATTTGAAAGGAATACCCAGTATTTTTATATACATCTCTTACCCACTGTGATTTTTTTTTTTAATAGGCTCTAATTCCAGAGTTTAGAATGTAGAACTGAAATTCTTAGCTCTGCCTTTTTGGGGGAATTGAACCCCACTAGAAATGTAATTATGCTGAAATGCATTAATTGAGGGCACTGTGCACGCTGTTGGACTGCTGACAGTAGTTACGTTATCCTAACAAGCTCTGTAATTGGTCAAGGCACATCCATAATCACTGTATTTTTTTCTCTGTCCCTGATAAAATTGAATTATTTTGATGGTTTTGTGGTACTGTAGATGGTGTTCTTAATTATTTAATAAGTATTTACAGGGGATGAGTAGTTTTATTTAGTGGTGCATTACACTTTTATTTACATCATCTTTTACCAGCTTTTTTTGTAAAAATAAAAGACATTGTATCTGTCACCTTGTGTATTTTTACAAGCTAGAGTTTAAGTACTTTAGCTAAACAGACTAAACACTGACAATAGAGGCCTGGGTGCCCTGAAATCTTGTTTTTATCCTTGGTGTCCTGTCAGTGCAACAGCATTTTCCTAGTCATCTTCTGAAGCTGTTGAAGGACTTCTCGCACACCTCAAACGTGAATATCTAGATATCAGAATTCCTTTTGTTTGTAGTACATCTTTGTACATCTACACCAGCCAGTGGAACCTGCCCTACGGAACAGACTCATGCTAAGTTACTGTCTTTGATATTCCTTTAACTTTGAATAATTTTGGAAAAGCTTCACATTCTCAACTACTGCCTAAGCTGTCACCCTGCGTTACCTCGTGCCAGATCTGTGCCAAACCTAAAGCTATGGTAAAGCTGTCTAGAAACAGGCAAAACATCAGATACCGCAACTACAGCACTGACCAAGCTAACACGTGCTAAAGAATCTCTTCACGAAAAAGCTGTACAGGGCAAGTTCAGGATCTCTCTGTGGAATTCACAGCATACAGGCTGTTCCTTTCTACTTTGCATAATCACAGCTTTCCTTCTTTCTGCTGAGTCTAGGAACCAGCGCCCATGATACACAGTGTATTCTGTCAAGGACATGACAGAGCAGTAAAGTGGAAAAGGATACAGAGCTGTACTTTGGCATTGAGCACTAAAAGCAAAGAATCTGTTTATGTGAAAGGAATGGCACATAGAGCTACAGAACTGAGGGATGCTACACGATGATGGCAGGCTTGTTTAAGATTGCTGCCCACTGCACTCCCCTTTCTCCAAGCCCCAAAACCTGGCAGTAGCTGATGAAAGCAGGGGTGTCCCATTGTCCCCACCTGCCACTTGAAGCCTTCATCAACTGCTTGTTTGGTCCAGTTGCTGCTGAAGCACACCACACAGCTCAGATCAGCTAGGCCTCTTCTACATCTTATCAAACAGAAGCAACTGCTGCTTTGACTGTAGTTAGTGGGGATGACAACTCTAAAGTTGTACTAAATTTGACTTTGGGCTATTACTGATGATTGTGTGAGAGTCACCATACTTGCAGCAAGCAATCCTCAGAGCAGTACTTGCAAGGACACCTGTATAAATAGCAAGACCTTGACGGCTCTTACTGCTCCGAGTTGCGGTATGCAAGGACACCTGTATAAATAGCAAGACCTTGATGGCTCTTACTGCTCCGAATTGCGGTATTACTTCATACTGGCACAGCCCAGAACTTAAGTTCTCAGTTTTATTACTGAGATACGGAGACTCATCACAAACAGACCCACACAGCATCCATAGAGAACAGACTATAGCCATCAGAATGGGGAAGGCAAACAGGAATACATACTGAAAAACACTGTCAGAGGGAAATCCAGTGAGAAATAAAGACGTCCCAGATCACAGTTGCACCTGCAAGCTGAGGCAGACTACGGATAGATGGCTGCAGAGAGGTCCTCAGCTGTGTTCCCTCCTCAAGCTGGAGACTTGCCACTGCTCGTTAGCATAACTATGGCCAACAGTAAGGCACACATACCTACACCAGAAAAGTGCCCAGCTGCAGTTGTACTTTTCAAGTTGAGCAGGGCAAGTCTGGAACTTAGTGTTAAAGCCTTCTGAGTGAGCTGGTAAAGCAAGAAGTATTTCCTTTTACTGTGATGCAGGGGAAGATGCTTGAGGTAGAAGCATGAAAGGTCTACTTGTTCCCAGAATGCCTCATGCCGCTATAATAATGAGTGGTGCTAGAATACACAAAATTAGCTGGCATAAATTGGTGCTGAGGCATTAAGCCTTAAGTTACTGCAGCAAGTTCAAAGGGCATGCTAAAATAAAGCAGGAATCTACAGCAAGATGAGTTTATGTCTACAGAATTAAACATCCACTGCCCTGCAAATGGACATTTGTTGGTACGACTGACAAAGTCTGCCTACCCTGCCATACCTATATTCTGTTTAGAGGTGAAAGACCACCTGGTACTGAAGCTGTTATACAGACTTGTTCCCCCTTTAGCCTTTATTGGTCTCAAGTCAGATGGGTACAGGTGTAGATAAGGTTGTTAGAGCCAAGATATACAAGTCTTTCCAAACAGAAGCTACCTCAAGAGTTCTGCAAAAGGCTTTGTGCATTATTATGCTCAATTTCAAAATTAACAGTTTTATTCGTATTCTCAAGAAAAGTATGTTTTCCTTTAAGTTTACCCAACTCTTTGGCTACAGGGTAGGTTAGTGGGGTGTAGGTTTTACTAGCTTGTGAATCTGCTCAGGTGGTGATGCTGTAGAGCCAAAGTCAGCCTGTAATGCTTTGCTGAAGCACAGTGTCCCTACAGAGGCATTACCACTGACAGTATCAACAGCCCTCAGAAAGCACCATCTGTGAGTAACCATGCTGGGTCTTCCATTACTACCAAACACTAGAAGTACAATTCCTAGTTGGAAACTCAACCTCAGAAGGGTGCAAGAGCTCCATCCTTTCCCAATGGCACCTAAACCCTAACTAGATCAAACTCTCTCAGTGTAAGCCACTAAGTGCACAGCTTTTATGCATCATCTGCAGGTACCCAGGCAGATGCAGTATCATACTTCAATCCTTTGAAGTGTCACTTCTCTTGATAACCTCATGGAACTAAAGGTGGGCAACTTATTTACCAAGAGACCATAATACCAGTGACTCCCTTTCCCAGCAGTTTGTGAGAACTGTGCCTGAAGATGCATGAGCCACAAGCTTTCTTTGGCTTTAGTCTACACAAACCAGCTTAGCTAAATGCAGACCAGCTGTTACTTCAATCCTTTGAAGTGTCACTTCTCTTGATAACCTCATGGAACTAAAGGTGGGCAACTTATTTACCAAGAGACCATAATACCAGTGACTCCCTTTCCCAGCAGTTTGTGAGAACTGTGCCTGAAGATGCATGAGCCACAAGCTTTCTTTGGCTTTATAGTCTACACAAACCAGCTTAGCTAAATGCATACCAGCTGTACCAGAAGTGACCTAGTTCTCACATTTTCTAGTGATAACAGGTGCAGGAAGCTTTCTACACAGAACAGAAATGTGCACAGTAAGTGAATACTATCAGGTGGTTTTGATCATGAATGATGCTCTGCTACCTACTGTAGATGTCAATCTGATGTTAACTTTAAGTGTCTGATTAGTTCAAGGGGAGGAGCAGTAACAGTCATCCTTTCCCACTTAAGATTCTACAAAGCCCTGAGTCACTTGCTGCCAAGGGCATGACTGATTTACAGAACATTATTTGCAGACTCTTCCCCTGTGCAAGTTACAGAAATTACAATATGCGCCCTCTGAGCTGGGCACAAACCCACCTCATCATTAGAGCATGCTTTGCAATACTTTTATTTGCATGCTTTCCTAGCTACACCTCACCAAGTACCTTCAACAATACCAACAACAAAAATCACACCTGCTCTACTTGCAGTTTTCTAGAAAAAGCCCTGAAC